TTTGAGCAATCTATATAAATATATATGTATCATCGACTCCGTCAATGACAACGGGCCCACAGGATTCCCATATCTAAACTTTGATTTATTTTATACATTTTTTATCCAAAATACTTTTTGTAAACCTATCATAATTCAAAAAAATTAAAAAGCTCATTGACACACCTACGCCATAAGAGCACGCTCGTCCTCCTACGTCCTAACTATCTTAGAAACGATGGTGTGTGGTTATTGTTTCGAAATTCGCAAATGCCCTTTTTACACCTACACCGTAAGAGCACGCTTCGCTGGTAGCACCTGCTAACCACTAAAGGAGCACGCGAGCGAAGCGAGCGCCCTTTATGCACCTGTATCATAAGAGCACAAATCGCTCGTCCTACCCACTTTCTAACTACTAAAAAGCAAGCGAGCGAAGCGAGCGCGCCCGGCCGACGTTTCGAAATTCGCGCGAATTTCGAAACGTCGGCCGGGCGCACCCTTTTTGCACCTGTACCATAAGAGCACGAATGGTTTGTCCTACCCACTTCTTAACTACTACAGAAGCAAGCGAGCGAAGCGAGCGCGCCCGGCCGACGTTTCGAAATTCGCGCGAATTTCGAAACGTCGGCCGGGCGCGCCCTTTTTGCACCTGTACCATAAGAGGACGAATCGCTCGTCCTACCCACTTTCTAACTACTACAGAAGCGAGCGAGCGAAGCGAGCGCGCCCGGCCGACGTTTCGAAATTCGCGCGAATTTCGAAACGTCGGCCGGGCGCGCTCGCTTCGCTCGCTTGCTTTTTAGTAGTTAGAAAGTGGGTAGGACGAGCGATTTGTGCTCTTATGATACAGGTGCAAAAAGGGCGCTCGCTTCGCTCGCGTGCTCCTTTAGTGGTTAGCAGGTGCTACCAGCGAAGCGTGCTCTTACGGTGTAGGTGTAAAAAGGGCATTTGCGAATTTCGAAACAATAACCACACACCATCGCTTCTAAGATAGTTAGGACGTAGGAGGACGAGCGTGCTCTTATGGCGTAGGTGTGTCAATGAACTTCTTAATTTTTTTTAATTATGATAGGTTTACAAAAAGTATTTTGGATAAAAAATGTATAAAATAAATCAAAGTTTAGATATGGGAATCCTGTGGGCCCGTTGTCATTGACGGAGTCGATGATACATATATATTTATATAGATTGCTCAAAGCGTGTTTTTTGCGAGCGGCCATATTGCCTGGCAAGACTGGATAGGATATAGCCCCCTAAAAAACGTTCCGAAAAATTGGCCGATTTGGGCAAATAATATGGCGGACCGGATGTTATTTAACGTAACCTCTATTTCCATTTGTCATTACATTTGTCATTTAATTGTGTCAACAAGCTACGATGAGATGTTTTTATTGTGGAAAACAAAGTAAAAAGAGTATGAAATAAACAATAAACGTTCATTCCTGAAGACACAATATGATTCACGTTTCCATTTTTATATTTTCTTTTATAAAAAATTAAATCATGGGTGAAATTTCCCGAAGGACATCGCCCGCAAAAGGAATAGAAGAAGAATAAGAAGAAAAACTAATCAAATTATAGGTTAGGCATGTCAAATTATCCCAAATTTCAGTTCTGTGAACCCACCATAATTTGCCCAAATCGGCCAAAATTTTTGCACTTCCGGTCTCCTTGGTGGAACGATTTTTTAGTATGTTAAATATAGCCTATATCCTATCCAGTAAAATAATACAGAAGTGCTGGCAAGTCTCCATTAATTTGAATCGATTTAGGAAAAATGTGTTTTAAAACCAATTTCCAACCTTAGAATATATTAAAAGTATAATTTCCTACATTTTTACTTTAAGGCATAAGCATATGTTTATTTTGAAATACATGGATGATCAATCTATATAACTGTCTATAACATTGATCCTATCAAATCAACAGGCCCACAGTGCTGCCATATTATTATAATCTGTCAGTGGCCTGTCATTTTAAACGGGTAGCCATTTTGTTTGGAATGACTAATATAAAGTGGTAATAAAATTATGTTTAAAATTTTTCGAAAAGTACTTGTTAATTACTTTATAGATGATGTAATATTATTTATTATGTACCACAACAATTCAATCAAAATGGTTAAATAAATTGTCAGATGTGACTGAAAATAAATTAAAGAAATGCTTTTTAAAGTGTATGGAAATGCTATTTAAAAAATAGGGTAATTTCTTTTTCGTTGATTTTAATTACACTTGGCAACACCGCAAATATTTGAATTGACAGATATAATTCTAAATTCTAATGAATAAGTTTACATAAATGATCAGTTAATGATCCTCGTAAGCCTTTAAATACAATTTATTTTTATAAACGTTAAATTATGGGGTTTTCGGTGGTATATTTGAAAAATACGCTCCTTCCTAAAGCCTAAAATGTAAGTTTCGTAAAAAAATTTGTATTTTTAAGAAAAGGGCGTCTTCGCAATAGTTACCAAATATTTTTCATAAGTAACTATAATTACGTGAGATGAGATTAAAGCAGACAGTAAAATCAAACATGTAAGTATTCGATTCATAAAAATACCTATTGGATTCTGTCAATTATTAATCTGGGTTTTGTTAAAAATTGAAATTCTTGATAACCATGCACATACATTACACGAAAATTGAAAAAATGTTAGGTTAGAAACACCAAAATCTGAAGGTTAAAATTCAAATTTCTCTGTTATTTATGCGTAACCCGCAAATTTTTTTTTTGTTATTTCATATATACAGTTAGTACTATTTTTTAGTTAAAATTTTTTTTCGAAATTCGTGTGTCCGTTATGTTTACAGGCACCGAATAGGCTATTTCAGAATAAATTTTGTTCTATTACGCAAAATAAATAGCGACTGTTAATAACATAATGAGATGTTAAAAAACTTGAAGCTAAAATATTGAACACTCTTAAATATCCTTAAAATTCCTCTATTTCTGCTATTTTTTCCAAGGCACAAGTTATTCGTTCTTTTGCCAAAACATTTCTCTCTAATAACTTGAATTTTTGTCATAATAATTTTCTTTATTAAAGTTTTTATTTTGTAACATGCGTTCAATATTTCGGCTAGTATTCAAGGTTTTAGTTAACCTTGTAGCAGCTACTCTTCGTTTGGGCTTTATTGTGCCCCTTGTACTAGGTTCAGCACATGATATATTTTCACGTTATTTTCTAAAAAAAGGGGGTTGATTGTTTTCTCTGACAAGATGGCAAGTGGCAAAACAATAGTCAAAAGTTGACGATATAATCAATGATCCCAACATTACTACTTGAAAGTATTGAAATATAATATTAATTATGATTGGTCAGTTTCCAATATTTACATACTTAATACCCGACATATGTTAGACATACGAATAATCGAAATTCCCATAGGAAAAAGGTTCCTAACCTAGTCGAGAATACCATTTTATAATACCACTGGAATATAAGCATGGGAATATTTATCCATGGGAAAATTTTCCGGTGAAGTCGAGAATTGAGGCCCAGGGGTAAAACTGGCAAAAAAAAATGTTTCCCCCTAAAATCAATAAGTGACAGGTCCGCGCGTTTTTAGTAAATGATCTGGTTTCTCGCCAGTACTACTAGAAAACTGTTTCTGACTCTAAATTAACGTTCTTTTCTAACAGTGCTTGATCGGAAGCAACTTCCAAATGTTCTTTCTTCTCCCCTCAAACATTTGCTCAATATCATATGTAAGAACTCTTATCTTGATATTTGTAGAAAGTTATTAGTCGTTTTTTTTTTGATATCATAGTGTTTTATACACCAAGAATAATAAACTCTTAAGTACAGGTTCACGTTGTCTATGACAAGTGACGGCGACTTTTTTATCACAAAAAATACAGCTCAGAACGATATTTTATCGAGGCATCCTGTTGCTATACCAACTTGGGTCACAACAGCTTCTTCATTTCACTTATTGGCATTTTTTGTCCACGTTGTGCTATGGGTGTTCCGCACCCAGTTGCAAACCGCTCTGGGTGCTTGCGCACCCAGAGCCCCGAGGATTCGGCGCCTATAAGATTAAGGAGTATACCTCCATGGCATAGACAGGCAACAGTTATTTGTTCTTCTGTTGTCCACCGGAATTATCCGAATAGAAAATTATATCATTTTCTTCTTTAAGATTTTTGTCCAATAGATCTTTGACATAATCAAGTATGCTGCTACCAATTTCCACAGCTCCTCTCTTTCCTTCGGTCTCATCCCAAAAGTAACAACTCACGTCCTTTACATCTAAGTCCCTGACAGTACAATTAAGCCAGTTAATTCTAGACTTATAAAAGAAGAGCGATACTTGTCCTTTTGGCACCTGCATTACCGCTTGCAAGTCGTAAACCGCTACAATGGTACCATCTGTCCTGTTCTTGTCATTGTCTTTTTCCTCCCTTGCCAAAGTTTTTTCTTTGAGGTGCTGCTCATAATTTTGGTATATATTTCGCTTTCCCTCTTCATCCGAATTTTTATAACTTTTGCAAATACCGCACTGATCTTTTTTTTGGAACAAAGAATGAAATATTAAAATCAGTATTGTAAAATGTTGATGACGTTGCAAAAGGCAGGCCGTTGTTTTCTCGTAATGTTTTATAATCCCGGTATAAATCGGCTAAAGATTTATTACTGCAAATAAATTATCTTGTTGTTTGAGCTCTCAAAATGCGATTCAATTCTCGGAATAGAATTTATAAAATCTAGAACACTATTCTTAACTTGTGGATCAATACTTGGTTGATTCCCATGTTTTCCTCTTAATACTCCTATCACACTTGAATCTGATTTCTTAGAAAGTGCGGTTTAAATAACTCTATCATTCAAGTCAAGGGTGGATGTGAAAATTGTTTTACATACTTTTATTTCTTGTCCAATAATTTCAAAATAAAATGCTGTATTCAGGGCTCTCAAATTTTGTGTGCTAGATATCTATACTTTGGTTTGACTTCTTGAGAGTGCCGTGCTCTCCGTCTTTGAAGATCAGTTTCGTCAAAATTATTTCTACAACTCAGCCACAAGGCGGACGAAGTTTTCTCTCTGGAACTTGTTTCTTCAATTTCGATAAAGAGTGGTAGGCATTTCCAGAATTTCGTAGTATTTTCGCAACTTTTGTTTTCCATGTCGATGGTTTTCTTACTCTCTTCTTTCCTTTTGTCCCTTTTGTCATAAGTTCTTGGTCGCGATCTTCAGCAATAGTAGGTTTTTGAGAGTTATTGAATCCAGTGTATACTCCGATATTAAGTCGATCACTATCAAGGTGGGCTACATTTTCAGTCTCAGAATTAGAACTACTGCTACCGCTTGATGAACCTCTGGAGCTACTGCTGGTTGAAGATGAAGAAGAAGCAATTACCTTCTTGAATGGTATCGTTTTTACAACAAGAAACACAAAATTTGGATCTGAATCAGATTCGTCAAAGTCACTTTCATCACTTCGGTTTGGTGAAATATTCGATAATGTATTGGAATAGATACGCCTTGTTTACATTTTAGATAATATAATAGCAGATAGGCTACCACTGCATAAAGTTATACAATATTAATGTTGCTATCTCAGAGTAAGTAAGTAGTAAAGAGAGGACAGTTAACAATGTTTGTGTCGCCATGATAATATGGTCGAGAATTCTAATTAGAGAGAAATAGATTAATATCTCTATCTCTTTGTTTGTATTTGTCAGTTTTTACAAACCTTTTCTCAGACAATTATTCCAGTGTTTAATTTAAATTTGTTCGTGTTGTGGTGTTAAAAGTAATTGTTATTAATATTATATTCATAACAAAAAAGTCATATTTTGTTTTCACTTCATTAAAAATGCACCTACCTACCTTTTAAAACATTTTATTTTATATTCTATTTGGTCAACATTTTCGCATTTAAAATGACCCAGCGAAATTGTTTTATGGTACGCAACTGCTGAGAATTCTAAAACGAGTGAGAAAGCCTTCATTAGAAAGAGAGATACTGATTATATGATAGCGAGATTAATATTGTATAACTTTATGCAGTGGTGGCCTATCTGCTATTATATTATCTAAGGTCGCTATCATATAATCAGTATCTCTCCTTCTAATGAAGGCTTTCTCACTCGTTTTAGAATTCTCAGCAGTAGCGTACCGTAAAACAATTTCGCTGGGTCATTTTAAATGCGAAAATGTTGACCAAGTAGAATATAAAATAAAATGTTTTAAAAGGTAGGTAGGTGCATTTTTAATGAAGTGAAAACAAAATATGACTTTTTTGTTATGAATATAATATTAATAACAATTACTTTTAACACTACAACACGAACGAATTTAAATTAAACACTGGAATAATTGTCTGAGAAAAGCTTTGTAAAACTGACAAATGCAAACAAAGAGATAGAGATATTAATCTATTTCTCTCTAATTAGAATTCTCGACCATATTATCATGGCGACACAAACATTGTTTACTGTCCTCTCTTTACTACTTACTTACTCTGAGGTTGATACGATGAATTTAGTGTGCTCACGAAATTTCGAAAACCTCTATCCTCCACTACACTAAATGGTTTGTAGTCATAAATAAATACACCTAATAAAGCATTATCCATTTTTTTCTTTAAATTTCCAGAAATTTTTTTCTTTGTGGCATATGAGGAAATAGTACCTTGAATTTGTTTGTTAACTGGCTTAGACTTACCGGAAATACTAGGACCCAAATCGATGGTTGAACACGTTTTAGTCTTTGACTCTAAAACTGAAACTGTCTCACTCAGGTTCTTTTTCATCATCTGAATCGTTGCCATCACTATTATTTTCACTATCATCCCGAGCATTAGAATTGGCATTCTGGGTGTTAAACCCAATTTTTAAAGTTGGATGCTTCCGAATAAAATGTTTTTTTAAGTTTTAAACTGAATATTTAAACGACAGTTTTTGTTTACAAACATCACATTTTGCAATTTTCTTATCGTTATCGACAGTCGAAAAATATAACCAAACTGGACTTCTTTTAGACATAATTTTTATATTGTGTACTTATTATACTGGAACAAATAATAACAAAACAAAATAATCCACCATGTACCGGCAACTATCAAAACTTTTAAAACTACTTTACAAACACACGTTGCAATCTATGTAATTCCCGGAATTATTTCTGTACGCAACTTGAATCGAACTACGTCGAAATTCGAAATACAGACAGAATCTACACATGCATTCGAGATTCGAGTACGGGCGGGTTCAGAAATCAGGTAGGTAGATCGGTCGGTGCCAGGGATGTCGGGCGTGCCGCATTCCAATCCAACCTTCCCAGAGCGGCGGCCGTGTAAACTCGCGGACGCGAACGCGTACCTATTTCAGATTTCGGTTTGGATCAAGTCTACGAGTCCGGTGTCAGGGATCAGTTACAACGGATCAGTTCCAGTATTGAATAGCCATCTCTAGACTTTACCCCTCTAGTAACTACCACAATGGGGCTGACCCAGGCAGTGGGGTAGTTCACGGGTTCTATGAAACCTAACTGAAGCAATCTATCTAATTCCTCTTTAGGTGGTTTTAACAATGGGATAGGTACAGTTCTGGGGACAGACTGTACATAAGGTTGTACATCGTTTCTTAATTTAATTTCAAGTTCATTTTTAAATGTACCCACATTTTCAAAAATTTTAGGATATTTGTTCAGGATGAAATAGTTATCTAGTAACGTCAAGTTATTTATAGAAATATCATCTCCGAGCTTTAAGAGTCCTAGGGCCAAAATTGATGACCGACCTAAAATAGGTTTACAGAGACCATGTATGATAAAAATGTCTACAAAGCAAATACTATTATTACATTTTAATTCTGATTTGAAAGTACCTTTGACTTTCAGTGATTCACCTGAAGGGCCTATTATATTTTTATTGCATTGCTTTAGGTTATTTAGAATATTAAAGTCTTAAGTGAGCAGGAATGCAAGTGACATCTGCTCCTGAGTCTACCAAAAATAGAAATTGTTTGTTTAAAGCACTAAAAACAATAGACGCTTTCCATTCTGTATTTAAGTTGTTTACCTGGATAGCTCCTAAATATAGGTCTTCTGTATCACTAGTATCCTGTCTTACTTGGAGCTGGCTTATTTTGGCTGAACGACAGACAGCTGCCCAATGTCCTTGTTTTCTGCACGTTCTACACATGGATTGTAATGATTGTAATGATTGTAATTGCATAATAAGTACCTCCCAATTACCCACAGGGTATATATCTCATTACTCCATACATATTAAAGTGTAAGTACACCTTAGGTAGTAATTACTGTATGCAATGTAGTGTAATGAATGTTATCTAAGTGCCTCCTAGTGATTACCGTTGGCAGTAGGTCCTTAACTTTCGACCGTCGTGCCTAGAGTGCTTAGCCTGCGTTAGAGACGGTCGCGCTTAACCGAAATATCGGGGTAGGACTGAGAAAAAGTGGGGGCATTTTCTAGAGGATATATACTAGGATCCGCATCCAAATAAAATCAGTTTAAAATCGTGAAATTTAAAAGGTCTACAAGTTCCAAATAGTTACCAAGTGTAGTATTGTGTGTGTATTATTCAGGTAAAAAAATATTTATTTGTATTCTACTATGGCTCAAACGCAAATTGATGCGGTTAATAAATTACTTGGAGACTGGCCCACAATATTGGACCAAAGAGAACTAAAGTCATTGGTTATAGGTCAACTTTATATTATTAAAACGATAATGGTCAAAGATACCAGGTATGGTAAATGTTTACTTATTCATTTAATTGATCGACATTCGCTGGAGCTTTTCCAGTGTTGGTTACCGAGGCGCATTTTTGAAATAATGCCATCCGAAGTCATTGCTATGATAAATGATTTTACTGGTCAATATGCATGGTCTATTTAGGGGAAAAGCCGTGTTACAACTAAACTACTAGGTCTCATATAAGAATCGATCTAGTTGGCCAGCAATCAATTAGTTAAATCCATGGTAGAGTCACTGTAAATATTTTTTTACTTTTAATCACATATAGATATCTAATAAACACAATATTTCATTAAGAATTTCTACAATTTTATTGTAAGTATAACTTGGCCCATATTTGTTCATTTAATAACGGTCAAATATTGTTTCAGATTATTTCGATATGTGGATGATGTATTCCGAAGAGCACTGGCCTAAAGCCATCGACATAGAATCAGCAATAAGCAGACTTGGAAAGGAACTGGACGCACTGGCGATGGATGCATTACACTCCATCAATTACGACGCTGAGGTATGGCTGTTTCCAGAAGCTGTAGCCTATCAAAACGATTGTTATGAGAAATACTGTAAAGGCAGCAGTCTTTGCTGCGAATATAATGCATGTGAGCTGGACTTGGATACATTCTGTGAGAAGATGGTTACCCTAAGTTTGAAACGCTTTTTGAACGAGGCCTTACCATACATCACCCCGCAAATAAGGAGTAAACATGGTTTAGATGAAGATGCAGACGATGAGGCTGATGATGAGACAGATGACGAAATGGATTAGCGATTACTTATATAATATATCTATCTATCTGTGATTAAAATATAAATAAAACAATATACATAGTTTAAATGTTTTTTATTTAAAAAAGGTTACATCTTTTTATTTTTGTTAAAAGTGAACACAGGTATAAGTTTGGATACAGTAAATTAGAGTATGTGAAATACAATGGCATATATTCGGTGTGTACAGTGCCATCTAGTGCATTATAACTTATAAGAGCTTCATGAATAATAAGCGCATACGCTTTAGTGTTGGCGGGAAACTGCATTTTACGTGTTTCGAATTCAACCTTGACATCCACAGTTGAAGATTTGATTGGTTTTGGATACATACAGCAATCAATTACGAATAGGGGGCTCGCTCTAAAGCCATTCAGGCCTAACATCGGTTCAGGATTTTCCTTTTTGTAGTAACTTCGCTGAAAATCTTCATAAGCATAATAAGCGGGAGTATCCAACTTTTTCCCGACATCTAGATTCCAACGCTCTAACGGGTAAACTTCAGAATTTAGATATAATGTGATATTAGTTATATCAGCAGCCGTAAACGCCGTCACATCTTCTTTTCTGTTCTCAGTAAAAGAAGTATTTTGAAATCCAATAATTACATATCTAGGTCGTTCCAAGGATGTAGTGGTTTTAATCGCCCATATGTCGTGAGAAGTTTTCCTTAGAGTAGGTAATTCATAAAGATCCCATTTATGGTGTGGTATTTTAATGGATTGCAAATGTTTGTCATTAATTTTTTTATACATGAGAACATTTGCATCATTTTCGGGAGTAATATGTTTGACTATCCAATCCATTTTAGTGATAGTTATGTCCGCATCGACTTCTCCTATATAGCAATTTTCGAATGCTCGAGCAATTATTACAGTCATCTCATGCTTAACACCTATTATCCCTTTTTTGTAAGATTCGGCAAAACCAAATAGATGTTTTAATAAGATTCTACCTGTAAATGTATTACTCGTTGAATCAACCAAAACTTGATTCTCTTCGCTGAGGCCCCAACCGGATGTTTCTAATAATTTCGCATGTTTTTCACCATATGACACCATATTTTTTATTGCTGTCGTTATAATGGGTTTTCGACATTCAGCAATCTTTTGTCCACCCATTTCATATCTAATTTCTTCAAATAGGCCAGAAAGAGCATTGTTGGCCAAATAGCACTTTTTATTAGCCTCTTTTGGCTTAAATGTTCCGACTATATTGATGTAACTATCGCAAATTAAGAGATTCAGGTCCATATTATTGATCGTAAAGGTGATTGTATCAGAATGTTTGTAATTTGGCGATCCCGTAGGCGGGTGGATATATCCATCGCATCTTTTGATTGAGTTATCGACGATCGGCTTTTCAAATACGTCCAACATCTCATTTCTTACATAAACAGCCATTATTTAATATCTTATATGGAATCCAATAGATTGAAAAATTTATAATCTTTATTAGACAACAGAAGTCTTCTTCGCTTTACAGTTACTCGACGAATGTTCATGTTTTTCCCTTCGATTCTATTTATATGATTATTTAAATGGGCGCTAGTTGAATATCGTGGTTTGAAGCAGAATCCCATATTAGTTTATCTCTTTTAATTCGAGTGTGATATTGATAGTTTCCTCTCCAAAGTCAATCAACTCGCCGTTATCGTCTACAACTCGGATAGTAATGTTGTCTAGGTATTGCCGACCGGTAGGTATGACTGGTAGATAAATAATGTTATGAGGTTCCTTCGTCAGTTTGTATCCTGGCTCAACGTCTATGTCAAATGAAAAAAGGGTGTGGGCTTCTTTCCCATTTATATAGGAACCAGAAATAATATTACAATCCAATTGAACAAGATGGAGGTTCATAATATTGATCGGCCTTGGCGGGCACTTCGAATTACCGAATCCTAAGAGGCTAGCTATACTGTTGTCACAATCAAAGTTGATTATAAATTTAGATGAAATTTCACATTTTAGAGTGTTGTTGTTCGCCGACAATTTAAACATATCATCAAGTTCTCCTTGATTTAAAATAGTTTTGGTATCCGGATATAGATAGTCATATATAGCTTTTTGGACGAACTTATTAATTTCGTCAATCTCATAAGCGCCGGGTGCCACACGTACATTAATTTTTTTCGGTGCACTGCCTTCCTCGGCCCAACTCTTCTCTCGCTGCACCACATCTGCCCAAAACTTTTCTGGGTCTACCACCTCTAAACAGATGATATTATTTTTTGAGGTGATATTTTTGATAGAATGGTAGGCATAAAATGCTATTAATCCAAGACCATACTGTTTATTAACATCCAATTCGAT